AACCAGCCTGGGCAGGTTTTATCTCCAATGAACCACCAGAAAACCGGAAGTGGTGCTGTGGCTCAAATGCTAGAGCACTATCTTTGACCTGAAGAGCTGAGGGATAGTGCCCAGGCCCAGAGTTCAAGCCCCATGACCATGACCACCACCACCACCCCCCAAAAAAAAATTCTAAGCCAGGTGCTGGTGGCTCACACCTATAATCTTAGCTACTGAGGAAGCTGAGATCTGAGGGTTGTGGTTCAAAACCAGACTAGGCAGAAAGGTCTGTGAGACTCTTTATCTCCAATTAACCAACAAAAAGAAGCTAGTAGTGAAGCTGTTAGCCTTGAGTGAAAAAGTGAAGAGACAGTGCCTATGTCCTGAGTTCAAGCTCCATGACTGATCAAAAAACAAAAAAAAAAAAGGACTAAATCCTCCTTGGGGGCATGGCTGAGGGGGAAGAAAACATCAGCCACAGAACAAAAGCTGGGGGACTGGCACAAGTGGTAGAGTCCCTGCCTAGTAAGCACTATGTCCTAGCTTCAACCCCCAATGCTGCCAAAAAGAAAAAAACCAAACCAAACCAAAAAACAGAATCTTAGGACAATCGAGCACCTATATTCTACTTTCACTCTTCGTAAGATGTTTTATGCTCTCATGAAAACTCATTAGGCAAAGTGCTTACTCCTCACAATTCAGAAAGCTACCATGATAGCGGCTCAAAGCTCTCAGATCTTTCCTTCAAGTCTGGGAGAAGCTCAGGAGAAGTGACATTATTTCATTTCCAGGCATACCAGGGCTTCCACAAGCTCCGGACTTGTTGACTTAGTACCAAGTGGCTCTACTACAGAGGCTGATCTGACCGGTCTGGAGACCATGCAGGGGGGAGGGGGGGGTAGGGCAACCGCACCTGGGCCTCAAATCCAGCTCAGTCACACCAGCCCCAACAGGCCGGCCTCGCCCAGAGTGCAATGGAGGGTGGGGCATCCAGAGTCCACGGTGTCTGGCTCTCTACATGGATTCCCTTTCTGCCTTTCTCCTAGCATTCTGGGTAGGAAGAGATCCTTAACTAAGGTGTGGCCCAGCTGCTGACCTCAAGGCAGAGAATGTCCTTTCTCCTTATATCTTTCCCCATGGACTCTGGCGGGGTGTGGGGAGGGGGGACTGCGTCAGCAAAGCTGTTGGATTCATTAGCAAAGTCCCAACCTTAGGACAGGGGCTTATTTCTCTATGACATATCTTGGAGAAACTAGGGGAAAAAAAATACTATTCCTGGTCAGGTACCACTGGCTTATATCTGTGATGCTAGCTACTTGGGAAGAGAAGTAGAAGAGAACCTTTCTCAGCCATTAGCTGGGAACAGTGGTGTGTAAGCAAGCAACTGTGATCTCAATAATGACAGAAAGCCTAAAGTAGGTGGATCGTGATTATGGTACACCACCAAGAAGGAATCTCTCTCTCTCTCTTTCTCTCCCTCTTTCTTTCCAAGGGGCCAAGTCTGTGTTGTTGTTTTTTTTTAATTTAACTTTATAGCCGGGCGCCGGTGGCTCACACCTGTAATCCTAGCTACTCCAGAGGCTGAGATCTGAGGATCACGGTTCAAAGCCAGCCCAGGCAGGAAACTCCAGGAGACTCTTACTACAATAAACCACTAGAAAACTGGAAGTGGCACTGACTCAAGCAGCAGAGCGCTCACCCTGAGTTGAAGAGCTAAGGGACAGCTCCCAGGCCCAGAATTCAAGCCCCACAACTGACCAAAAAAAAAAAAAAATAAATGAATGAAATTTAATTTTATACTTTGGTGCCAGTCCTGGGGCTTGAAATTAGGACCTGGGTGCTATCTTTGAGCTTTTGTGCTCAAGGCTAGTGCTCTACCACTTAAGTCACAGCTCTACTTCTGGCTTTGTTGTTGTTGTTGTTGTAGTTTATAGGACATGAGTCTTATGGACTTTCCTGCCAAGGCTGCCTTCGAACTATGATTCTCAGATGTCAGCCTCCTGAGTATCAGCCAGGATTATAGTCGTGAGCCACCGGTGCCTGGCTTAGTCAGGTTATTTTTTAATAAGCATTTATGAGCCACTAGTTGTAATCCCAATGCTAAGTCAGGTATAATCCCAGGTGCTACAGCTATAAGGGAGCTTTGAGTCAAAAGTGAGTATTACAGCTATAGGGGTCAAAGAAGATTCTATTGCCTCCAGTGGCACAGATTCTAGACTCTTGAAAGCTTCCTGGGAAAAGCTGGCAAGGAATCTTGACAGATGGGACCGGATTCTCCAGTATAGGGGATGGAAGAGATTTCACCTAGGGGAAGGAAAGGCAAGAGGGCCAGACTGGAGCGCACTAGCCTTGAATGCCACATTTAGAGGTTCAAAGTGTGCGTGTGCTCCACAGCTCTGTGTGGTCTCACGTGAGATCTGATCTCCAGGGCTTCATTTCCCACCTGTCAGGGAAACTGTACTGTCTTTGACATTGTGGTTCTGGAAGTTATTTTAATCCTACAGACAGTATGCAAAGTAGCCTGGCACACCTTAGCTATATGTTACCATGGGGAAGGAAACTGTCCTTGGTAAGATAGCTCTAGCATTGATAAGAAGTCCTAAGTTACGGGGCTGGGAAGGTGGCTTAGTGGTAGAGTGCTCGTCTACCATGCATGAAGCCCTGGGTTCGATTCCTCAGTACCACATACACAGAAAAGCTGGAAGGGTGCTGTGGCTCAAGTGGTAAGAATGTTAACCTGGAGCCAAAGAAGCTCAGGTACAGTGCTCAGGCTCTGAGTTCAAGCTCCAGGACTGGCCAAAAAAAAAAAGGCCTGCATCACTAGGACCTGATGCTGAGAAGTAGAAGAAGAGGTACCAGGGCTTCCAACAGGCAGTGATAACTAGAGGGACAAACATCCTACTCCTGCCAATCCAGAAGCAAGGACAGGAAGAAGACTCACTTTCCTCCCATATATATATAGTTCTGCATTAATAGAGGTTCTTCAGAACCTTCTACTACTTTTATTTCAAGGCACTAAGTACCATAGTCACTTCTATCTTCCAGCAGGCCAATAATTACAAGTGGAGAAGACAAAAAAAAAAAAGTCAGGAAGGAAAGAAATGATGACCTCCCTCCCCCCATCCCTCCCCCCCCACTACAACATCTCTCTCCCTATCAAACAATGTGACTCATCCTAGGTTCCACTAAGTTTTCAAGTGCTGGTCAGGGGAATGGATGGGTGATAAATCTGCAGGCTTTGGCTAGATAGAGGTAAAGGAAACTAAAGGGTGCCAATTAACCAAGAGGCCTGGAAAAGAGGCACATGCAAGAGGTTAGCAGGAGCAGGAGGACAGCATGCCCCCGCCATGTGTTCTCTGGAGGTGGCCAGCACTTCAGGTCCTTCTAACAGGACAGTAACGAGTGCTTAGGATAGCTAGAAGAGCAGAAGGATTGCAAAGGCAGTAAAAGGACCTGGTCAAAGACACTTTGCTGTGGGCAAAGCCAAGATGGAGCAGGCAGGTGGTTAGGGGCTGAGGGGAAGGGGAAGAGGCCTAGCTCCTTTAGACCAACACTGAATAGCAATAACTAGAAAGACAGTGACCACATTCTTCCTGTTTTATGTGTTTCATGACTTCCAGGCTTCCTGCTAAGCACTATCTCCCATCCTGGGCAAGAGGGCCAGAGGATGGGCATAGAGAAAAGAGGAGTAGAGATAGTCTGAAAAGGTGCAGGCCATAAAGACAGGCCAGCCTGGTAATCTGAGGTATGGCGTGGGGGAGGCAGAAAGGCCCAGAGCCTGTGACCTTTACCTAGGCTGAGCTAGTGCATGTTCACTCACACCTGTCCTTATTCAGAAATGTGTAGGTCCTGTGGCCTAATTAAGTCCCATAGATTTCTTCACACCTACCCCCACCCCATAGCTTTGTCTCATTTGAAGTTCACATCAACCCTTGTTCTTTCTCTCTGAACAAAAGTAAGAACTTTGTTTCAAGAGTTCAAGATATGGGCTTGGGAAGGTGGCTTAATGGTAGAGTGCTTGCCTCCCATGCATGCAGCCCTGGATTTGATTCTTCAGTACTACATCCACAGAAAAACCTGGAAGTGGAACTGTGGTTCAAGTGGTAGAGTGCTAGCCTTGGGCAAAAGAAGCTCAAAGACAGTGCCCAAGCCCTGAATTCAGAAGCCCCAGGACTGGCAAAAACAAAACAAAATAAGAAGAAGAAGAAGGAGGAGGTGGGGGAGGAGGAGGAGGTGGAGGAGGAAAGAAAGAAACAAACAAACGAAGGAAGAAAGAAAGAAAGAAAAAAGAAAGGAAGGAGTCCAAGGTATTGTTCAAGGTCCCAGAGCTGGCAAACTCGGGGAAGAGATTTAAGACACATCTTTGGGACTCTACTCCCAGGCCCACAATCACAACTTGTAAAACAGGAAGACCTATTGTACTAACAAACTACACCCATGCAGGTATCACTAGCAGGAGCTAAAAATGAAATCAAGTTCCCGGTGACTACACATTCAAAGGATTCTGGGTATGGGGTGTGTCCTGAACCACAACTTTAAGCCTTAAAATTAGCCACTCCAAGACACCCAATCTAGATTTAGTGAGCCAGGTGACCCCCCAACTAAAGCTTTGGGATATGTATGGGGGGAAGGGGGTGCTCAGTCTCTGGCAGAAAGAAGTTCAGATCCCTCTCAAAGACAGGAGCTTCTTATGGGAGACAGCCAAGCTGTGTGAACCCCTGCAGGCCCAGCCAGAACCAAGAACATGCAGTCACACCCTCCCTCCTTCCGGGTACACGAGCTCACCCCATTCTGATCCTGGGACCCAGGTAGCTGAGGTGAGGCGAAGCCTCAGTTTCCCCACGTGTAAAAAAACAGGGAAGATCGTGAGTGTGACCTTCCAGGGGAGTAGAAGGAGGTCGATGAGACAAGATGCTGAGTATAGAAACTTGAGCAGGGGCCCTGGACGCTTCCAGGTCACCCCGGGCCTCAAGAGAGAAAGAGGGGTGTGGGGCTGTGGGGAGAGGGGGGGGGTCACTAACCTTGAGGGCACACTTCTGCCCAGTGAGCCGGTGGAAACATTCCAGCACTTTGCCGTTCACACCCAGGCCCAGCACCTGCTTGGACAACTGGTAGTCGTCGGTCACCGCGTACTTCTTGGGTTCTCGCCGCCCTCCGAGGGTCGGAGCGTGGCCGGAGGCGGGTCCCCCGTGGGCAGCCGGCGGTGGGGGTGCTGGGGTCCCCTGCTCCGGCTCGGCCTCACCATCCATGGCCCCTACCCCACCCCCTTACGCCGGGTGCTCGAAGTGGGGGGGCCGCCCCCCCACCTTGGGGCCTGGCACGTCCAGGGGAACCTGCTGGGGGGGGGGGAAGGAAGAGGGGGGGTAAGGGTGGGAAGCGGGGAGAGTCGGGGTGAGGGGGGGGAAGAGCAAAGAACGAGAACTTCTCACTCAAGAGTTTCCCCACATACCCCGCCCCCCCCCGACTCGGGCGGAGTGGGAGGGGGGTCCCACCCGAGTGGGGGGGGGTCCCACTCCGGACACGTGTCGCGAGCAACCAGGAGCAGGGGACCCGGTCCCCCCCCCCCACACACACACCCCGATCCCGAGCGCGGGCTGAGGCCCGCCGCGCGTTACCTGACGGGAGCGCACCTGGCGGGAATGACGGGGGGTTGGGGGGGGGGTCGCGTCCGAGCGCCGGCGCCGGCAGCCGAGGGGGCGCACCCGGCCCCGGAGTCGCGCCCGCCCCGCGGCCCACGTGACTCCGACACCTCCTCCTCCTGCTCCCCGCCCCGCCCGCACCGTCAGACCTTCAAGGGCCAAGCCCGGCCCAGGCCCGAGCCACTCAAGACGCGAGCTGGACTCATGCCCCGCCCCCGCGCTAGGAGGCAAAGCAAAGGGGGCGTGGTTTAGCCAGGGGCGTGGCTTCTCGTAAAAGGGGGCGGGAACCTTCCTGGCGCCTTGGGTAGAGCCAGCCCTGGACCCTTCCTACATCACCGGGAATCCTACCCCGGATCCCGGACCTAAGACAGCTCGTTTCTGTTGAACCCTTAAGTAGTAAGTCTCTGCCTGCTGTCAGACAGACCTCTAGTATGGCTTGGTAAACTTAGGACTTCCCTGGTGGTGGATAACCAACCACCCCACCCCACCCCACCCCACCCCAAAAATAACTCAGTCCTTAAATTGTGCAAGTGTACAAAAGGAAGTGGCATATAGCGGTGTTGCTTCATTTGAGCCTTACTAGTGCCAACATTCTGCGTGCGTCTTCCCTTCCCTTTGGTATCCAGTGTTCCTAAGTCAGAAATCTTTATTTTTTAATTTTTTCCCCCTCCTTGGTCATAACAGACAATTTTTCTCCTATGGTTTGGGCTTTTGATGTTGTGTGTAGGGCGGGGGGGCGGGTGTTGTTGGTTGTGTTGTGCCAGTCTTGGGGCTTGATTGAATTTAGGGCCTGGATGCTGTCCTTGGGCTTTTATTTTTTTTTTTCCTCAAGACTACTGCGCTACCAACGCTCCAAGTCTGGCTTTTTGGAGTTTCACTGGAAATAATCATATGGAAAATAAGAACAACAACAACCAAAAAAAATTGTATGGACTTTCCTGCCAGGGCTGGCTCCTAACCGTGATCCTCAGATCTCAGTCTCCAGAGTAGCTGGAATGACAGGCATGAGCCACAGGCACCAGACTCATACTGTGTTTTTTAAAGTCTCCAATGGTTGTGGTGGTACAAGTCTGAAATCCCAGGACTGTTGAGGCGGTGGATAGCAAATTCCAGGACAACCTCCATACAATGAGATCTCGCTTTAAAAACATAATCACAATACATTATCTGCTTCCCCTGATCCAGTGCCATTTTCTCTAATAGTTTGGTAGTTTCCATGTTTAATGTTTACTTCATTCCAAACCCATCTTAGCCTAATATATTTCAATTGTGGGACTTGAACTCTGGTCTTGGTCGCTGTCCCTGAGCTTTTCAACTCAAGGCAAGGGCTCTACCACTTGAGCCACAGCACCACTTCCCATTTTCTGGTGGTTAATTGGACATGAGAATCTCACGACTTTCCTTACCTGGGCTGGCTTTGAACCATGATCCTCAGATCTCAGCCTCCTGAGTAACTCGGATTACCAGCATGAGCCACCGGTGCCCAGCTACCTTACATATATTTGAGACAGTTCTCCCAACCATCCACCACTTTACAGAAGACACTGAGGTAATCAGAGAGGAAGTTTGTGAAAAGCCATGGCAAATGTGACTATGACTGACTACTCCAGCAAGAATGTGCTACTCCCAGCATATCTTCATCTCCTACCCAAAAGCAGAGGGACCCAAGCCGGTGAGTGGCTCTCTCTTTTGAGATAAAAGAGTGAGCTAGGCAATGGTATCATACACCTGTAATCCTACCTAACTCAAGAGGGATCACGGTTCAAAAGTCAGCCCAGGCAGGAAAGCCCCTGAGACTCTCATCTCCAATTTATTGGAAGTGGTGCTGTGGCTCAAAGTGGTAGAGCAAAAGAGCTCAGGGACAGTGCTCTCTGGCCCAGAGTCCAAGCCCCAAGACCAACCAAAACAAAACAAAGAAACTTGTGGCAGTTCTATGTAGGGCTCTTCTGCCATCTACAGGCAATGCCCACGAACTACAGGCCCTTCAACTTTATAGTCACACCCAAAGGCTCTCTTTTAAGCCATATTTACTTAGTTTAGGCTTTCTCTACAATCTGAAGCCTCAGTCCCCACCTGGATACCTGGGGCTGCAGGTCCAGTCTTTTCTGGAGGACAGGAAATTGGTGCCCTCCTGACTGCAACTTGACAGGCTACCTCTGCAAGTAGTAAAAAGATGCTACAATTATTGGTGGGTACCCCTTGTATGTGGATGTTGAGAGGGATTTGGGACAATCTTTGTTTCTTTCAGACAACCTTTAAGCTAGTTACATTCAGTGGCACAAAGTTCTCCAGACAATAGCTTCAGCTGACCATACCCAACACTTCAATACACAGCCCAGACTAGGGTACCCATGACATCACCAAGACCAAGAGAGAGAAGGCTTACTTCTGACACACCCAGGCTCAGAGAGGCTAAGCGACATGCTTAAAGTTAGCAACTAGCAGGATAGAGCCCCTATTCCATTCCACAATCTCACAGCCCAGCTGAAAGAGGGGTTCCTCTTGTGTTCCTTCCTGTCATCCCACATGTATCTACATGAACACACACTCATGCACACACACACACACACACACACGACATACCTGGGCATGCATTTGCATGGAAAGACCTACATGCAACACATACAGGTATATGCACAACGTTTATACCCAGCTGAACCCAGGATCAATGTCACTTAGTCTCACCTGAGAATCAGATCCAAGATCTCAGAGTTTGGATGGAGACTGGGAAAGAAGCTGGCCTCTGGCAACAACTGGATGGAGCCTGGTACACTTTTTATATTGTTTTATTTTTTTTTGTCAGTGATGGGGCTTGAACTCTGGGCCTGGGCGCTGTCCCTCAGCTCTTCAGCTCAAGGTGAGCGCTCTATCACTGGAGCCACAGCACCACTTCTGGCTTTTTCTGCTGATGTGGTGCTGAGGAATCGAACCGAGGGCTTCATGCACGTGAGGCAAGCACTCTACCACTGAGCCACTATCCCGGCCCCATTCTTTAAATTTTTTTGTTATTATAAAGGTGATGTACAAAGGGGTTACAGTTATAAATTAGGTTAAGAATACACTTCTTTTTAGACAAAGTCACCCCTCTCCCAATTTTTCCCAGTTGTCTTTTCTTTCTCTCTTTCCTTCCTTCCTTCCTTCCTTCCTTCCTTCCTTCCTTCCTTCCTTCCTTCCTTCCTTCCTTCCTTTCTTTCTGTCTTTCTTTCTCTTTCTTCCTTTTCTTTTTTTCTTTCTTTCTTGGTTGTGGGGCTTGCACTCTGGGCCTGGGAGCTGTCCCTCAGTTCTTCAGCTCAAGGCGAGCGCTCTACTATTTGAGCTGCAGCGCCACTTTTGGTTTTCGTGTGGTTTATGGGACATCAGAGTCTCAGGGACTGGCTTTAAATCGTGATCCTCAGAGCTCAGCCTTCTGAGCTGCTAGGATTACAAGTGTGAGCCACCAGTGCTGGCCAGTTGTCTTCTTTCTTAAAGATGGAACTAGTTAGCTGGGAGTGAGGGATTCACACAATCACAGCTACTGGGAAGGTAAAGATTGAGAGTCTCACTTTGAGGCAACCCAGGACTAAAAGTTAGCAACTCTCCATCTCCAGTAACCAAAAATCCATGTATATAATCAGCTGTGTGGTTCATGCCTGTAATCCTAGTATATAGCATGAGCTGTGAGCCTGGGTGGGGTAGTTTCTTGGTAGCAAACTCTGCCATACATCCCAATAGTCGCATTCCATAGATACAGATAGTTACACCTTTGAAATAGCTTATTGTGACCAAAGGATCAAGAGTCTGAGTTGGGGGTAGGGGACGGCAGCATCTATTTCATGTTGTCCATGGTAGCAAGAGAGAGACCCAAATCAACCAGATACCCAAATCAACCAGATATTGAGGAAGGCTGTGATGCATATTAGTGTGTGTGTGTGTGTGTGTGTGTGTGTGTGTGTAAAGGGAGGGGTCAGAGAGTCCTGGGCTTGTATTTGGGGTTGAGCACTGTCTCTGAGATTCTTTTTCTCACTGTTAGCACTCTACCACTTGAGCCACAGTGCCACTTCTGGCTTTTTCTGCTTATGTGGTGCTGAGGAAT